GGGGGGGGGGGGAGGAAGGGACACTCCCAGCAAGACCCAGTAAAGTCCACAAAAATGGGGAGACGGTGAAAAGGTAAACTCTACTGCTCAGGATTCCATATGGAAACCGGATGCTTTGCGGGATGGCTTCCCAGCATGCTTTGGTGGTGGGTGAATCCAAATGTAAAGTTTTAAAAATATGGGCTGCCATGCCACTCTCCACACAGGATGCCATTTTGGAGCGAAGGGAAAATACATGGCTTGTGTGCATGCCTCCCACTGCTGGCACCCTACATGAGTGTGATTGGTGTCTGTTGTCCAAGGGATTTGTTAATCATAAACAGGGCACGGACTGATTGTGGAGATTATTAAAATGCTTCTGCCCAGATGAATTCTGGGTAAGGAAAGGTTTTCTTCAGGGAGTTGGCTAAGTTACTTGTTGGCATGTCTCCTCCAAGATAAAAGTTGAATGGGAGGCAAAGCTGGCAGGTGGACTGAAAAGCAGGTGAATTTCTAAAGAAAGAATGTATTGAGCCCTTGGTCCCTCAGGGTATGTCTAGACTACATGGCTTCGTCGACAGAGCCATGTAGATTTGTGTATTGGGCAAAGGGAAATGAAGCGGCGATTTGAATAGTCGCCGATTCATTTAAATTTAAATGGCTGCTGCGGTGAGCCGACAAACAGCTGATCAGCTGTTTGTCGGCTCACCGCAGCAGCCATTTAAATTTAAATGAATCGGCGACTATTCAAATCGCCGCTTCATTTCCCTTTGCCCAATACACAAATCTGCATGGCTCTGTCGACGAAGCCATGTAGTCTAGACATACCCTGAGGGACCAAGGGCTCAATACATTCTTTCTTTAGAAATTCACCTGCTTTTCAGTCCACCTGCCAGCTTTGCCTCCCATTCAACTTTTATCTTGGAGGAGACATGCCAACAAGTAACTTAGCCAACTCCCTGAAGAAAACCTTTCCTTACCCAGAATTCATCTGGGCAGAAGCATTTTAATAATCTCCACAATCAGTCCGTGCCCTGTTTATGATTAACAAATCCCTTGGACAACAGACACCAATCACACTCATGTAGGGAGCAGGGCTATACACCCGGCTTTTCCACCCCAAAAAACCACAGGCCTTTGGCACTGAAGCTAAAGAAGAATCTCTTTACTGAATGGTAACAGTAGGTCTTTTAGCCTGTTTCTGAGCCAGCCCCTAGAGGGTGACAGCTCTCTGAGATACACTCTAACTCGGTGCTTTACAACGGACCCAAGATTTCATCGCTGGTGCCAATGGTTGTGTCAAAAGCTGCTCTCCACAGCCAGAGGCGACTGTAGTTTCTGTGCACTATTTATTGGCTAGGAGAGAAAAATGGTTGGAACATGAAGGTTCCAGAGGCCGCAAACGACAAACAAGACGGCTGAACATTACCTGACACACAGGAGCTTTGCTGACATCATTTCAAGCCCGTCGTGCCCACCGCTGTTTTTCTGGAGGGCTCGCCAGCGCTGTCAGGTGGCCAGTCCCTTCACAATGCCTGATTGATTGTCTGGGAACCAGCACAACAATCCCTTTGGCTGATTGCTATTGAACTATCCTGTGGCTAGGAGGGAGTAGGGGGGGGGATTCCGAGATGTCCTCATGGAGCATTTTCAAAAGGCACTAACTGTTCCAGGAGTAAAAGGGCAGATCTGTAGCCCCCTCCAAGAAGCGCACCAAGACTTCAGTGCAGTTCACGAGGATGAGAACGGGATGAAAAGCAGGCGAACGTTAAGCTCGTGCCTGTGAATTGTGGAGTTGGAAGGGATTCACTGGACTGTTTTTCAGCATAAAGAAGCTAACACTGCTTATACACTGCACATCCTATGACTGTTTAGCCCTAGTTAAATAATAATTCTTTTCTAGTACAGGTTGAAACTCTGTAGCCCAGCACTCCTGGGATCCGACTGCTGCCGAACCAGAGAATTTGCTGGACCGTAGGAGGTAAATATTGTCTAGCAGCATTACCAACCCTTCCACTGCTTGTTGGCCTCGTAGAAGACACTGAGGGGTAAAAAACAGCACAGAACACTGAGATCCAGGACTGGGGGCTGAAAACAAACTTTATGGGACTGTGGGACACTTGGCCACACCCAGGATAAGTGGGCATCTGGCTAACTGCAATCATGCCGGACCACGGATGTTGTGGGATCAGACACTGCTGGACTAGAGAGGCTCAACTAGTAACAACGGCAGTCGGAAAGTCCTGTGGACAATCTCCCAGACACAGATCACTGAGTGAGGGTATTGGAAGCGGGAGACCCCCTTGCACCACAGTTGTGCTCTCTCCCCTAGGGCAAGTCAGCTCAGGTTTGTCTTCACCGCAAGCTCAAGTTGACTCCTCTTGACCCAGCGAGGGTCAACACGATCCAGGAGCTGCACACTGAGGAGTTGTAGGAGTCGCTTCATTCCCCCTTGCCTCACTAACTCAAATGGCAGCCACACTTGGCCTGCCGCCCGCATCCTGACAGGCCAGTTCCCTTGAGGTGAGAGCGCTACTGAACTCAAGCTAGAGGCCTGCGTGGGTGGAGATCAGCGCTGGATTTACACCTGGAGGTAACGCCACAGTGAAGACGAGCCCGTATGCTTCTCTGGGTCCCAGCTCGCCATCTGTCAAACGCAGACAAGAGACCCGTCTGACCTCACAGGAGTGTTGGGAGGATAAATACAGGAACAACTGTGATGCACCCAGTTGCTATGGTAACGGGGCAGGGGAGGAGATAGAAATACCTAAGGTAGCTAGATGGAATTGTTATTCTTAACTACCTAAATATTGCAGCTAGGGAGAAATTCTGGGTTTCTTGTGTTGCTTTTCACAGAAGAAGGACCATTGACTGGGTATCAGGACCAAATATCAATTTGGGTAATTATATTTTGCCTTCCTAAAATGAATTTTCTTGAAATGAAATGAAATGAAATGAAATGAAATGAAATGAAATGAAATAATGAAATTATTATTACAGGCTGAACCTCTCTAGTCCAGAACTCTCTGGTCCGGCAACATCCGTGGTCCGGCATGATTTTAGTTAGCCGGATGTCCACTTTTCATAGATGTGGCCAAGTTTCCCGTGGTCCCATCAAGTTTGTTTCCAGCCACCAGTCCTGGCTCTCAGTGTTGTGTGATGTTATTTAGCCCTCATTTACCCCAAATGTCCTCTAACAGCCCAGTAAGCAGGGGACGTATTGGTAATGCTGCTAGACAATATAAAACTCATGGGCTGTGTCTACACTGGACCCCTTTTCCGGAAAAGGGATGCAGATGAGACAAGTCGGAATTGCAAATGCAGCGGGGATTTAAATTTTCCCTACTCCATTTTCATGAACATGGCTGCCGCTTTTTTCCGGCTCGGGGCTTTGCCGGAAAAAAGCGCCAGTCTAGACGGGGATCTTTCGGGAAATAAAGCCTTTTCCGGAAGGTCCCTTATTCCTGATTTTAAGAGGAATAAGGGACCTTTCAGAAAAGGCTTTATTTTCTGAAAGATCCCCGTCTAGACTGGCGCTTTTTTCCGGCAAAGCCCCGAGCCGGAAAAAAGCAGCAGCCATGTTCATGCAAATGGAGCGGGGAAAATTTAAATCCCTGCTGCATTTGCAATTCCAACTTGTCTCATCTGCATCCCTTTTCCGGAAAAGGGATCCAGTGTAGACACAGCCATGTGGTTCAGCAAATTCTCTGGTTTGGAACCGATGAGGTTCTGTCGGTGTTGGACTAGACAGATTCAACCTGTAGTAATTACATATTTATGACATCAAGAAATGTGCTTGACACTTTAGAGTCTAAGTAGCATTAAGATACAGACTTGCCCCAAACAGATGGCAATCTAATCTGAATCTGAATCCAAGGTTCTTCAACATTTCCTTCACTAAACTGTTGTCTGCTCTTGTATCAGTTTAGTGGCTGATGTGTCCCACCCTAGAGGTGGCTGCATTTTGGGGGGTGAGTGACAGAAACCATCCCTACTTGTATATGGTTTAAAATTCTGCAAAAAGCATGGCCAATTGTAAAGCCGCTAACTCTTAATAATGCTCTTTCCCCACCGTTTATTCCTCACCTGCCGAAACAGAGCCCGACAGTGAGCTGACATCCACGCAAAACCGATCCACAGCCCCTAAGTAGTGGCAATGTTGTGTCAACTGTGCTGGAGCGCCAAACAGCAGAGAACCCCACTTGGAACAGTGTGACGGTGTCTCATGCGATCCACAATTCTGTTCGTGGAGCTTTTCTCCTCCTGCTATGTATCCCTCCAGCTGCCCAGGAGATGTTGATTTTGTTACCCAGAGACTGACAGCCGAAGCAGAGCCAAATGCAGGGGATAGGCTCTGCTCTGAACAAACCGTGGTGCAGCCCTGGAGGGAGAGGGAAGTCACAATATCTATTTCTTCAAGGCCTACTTCTCCTAATGCAGGGAGTCTGGTGCTGAAGGTCCCATGCTAAAGCGTATGTGTGTGATGATGGTTCATGTATACACTGATGCACAAAGCACTGAACACTATCGGAGGACAGGACACTGGGACAGATGGACCTTTGATCTGACCCAGTCTGGCCATTCTTATATTGTTCCCTAATAATGCTATCCTGTTCTGGAAACAAGCCCTAGTAAGCCATTAAGAGGTCCATTTTTCTTGGCCCTGTGGAAGGAACCATGTTTAAAAATGACCATTGCTAGCATGGTTTCCTTGACTATACATAGGCTTTGCAATGTTGAAACCATGTTAGTCTCAGGATATTAGAGTGACAAGATAGATAACGGAGTGCCTTTTATTGGATCAGCTTCTGAAAGAGACTAGCTTTTGAGCTTACACAGACCTGAAGAAGAGACTTTGTAAGCTCAAACGCCTGTCTCTCTCACCAACAGAAGTTGGTTCAATCAAAGACATTACCTCACCCACCTTGTCTGTCCAATATACTTAGGCTTAGCAGAATTAGATTTTATTTTTTTTATTGGTCTGACTGGCAATATCACACTTATTTTTAAGCATGTTTTTCCTGATTTTTATCAATTTAAATTTTCACATTCAAAGGAAATTATGCGTGCGTGTGTGTGTGTATGATAGAGAGAGAAAAAATAATTCAATGACAGTAGATGTTGTGATTCAAAAAAAGTTAAAGCTTTATAACTGTTGCAACACAAATGATCAGCGTCATTGTAGCGGACAGGAGTAGGGCGGGTCAGCACCCGGTGACTAAGGGGTTAAACTCAGGTAGCTAGGGGGCCTTGAGAACCAATGAAGATAGAGGGTTGAAAATTCAATTGGATACAGATTACTTTCCTGCTTTTTTTGTGTGGGAGACAAAAACCGGGAGTTGAGCAAGACAGAATGATTTAAACCCCGATAGGACTACCATTCCCCCAAGGAATTTGGGGCATGGAAGAGGATCGAATAAAGACATGATTGGAAGTAAGTAAAGGAAAAGTGGATCTAGTCACAATCACGGTATTTTTCTTTATTTTGTGGTTTGGTTTGAACTGCTCTGTGTGAATCTATTCCTCCCCTCCCCATTTGCCATCTCACATTGTGCCCAGAGACTTTTCTCTTTTTTTTATTAGTTTTCCTTAGTTGCTCTATAACATCTAGCAACCAAGGATGCTTTATCAAGTTTATCTTTTGTTTTGTAATAAAAAAATCACTTTTTTAAGGTGATGATTTGATTCTTGAGCCCCGGAAGGTCTGTCTGTATGTGTGTGTATCTGCATGCCTCTGACTGGGGGGTCAGCTACTAGAGACTACAGGTTGTTTTTTCTTTCCTTTTTTCAAGCTCTGCTGGGGCAAAAGAGCTCGGGGTACCACTACGGGTGGGTTCAAGTGTTCACCCCTGGTTTTAGGGATAAAATCACTTGATGGTGGCAGCTTGTTTGTTTGTTTATTTCTCAGAGCCAGGGAATCTGTGACTCTGGGAAGTTTTGGCAACCAGTGCCTGTAGAGGCAAAGTTTTTTTCTTTTTGAGTTTTGCAGGGCCTCACCTTCTGCACTCAGTGTGCCAGAATGGAGACAGCCCGGACGTCTCACATGCACAAATTCAATATCCTTAAATCAACCCTAACACGCTTTCAAGCAGCATCTTTCTTACTTAGTCTATCTACACATGTTGACTATTATGGATGGGAATACTTTTTCACTAGCTTGTCTGTGTACGGCGAAATTGACGCTGACTGACAGTCACCATTAAAAAAGTAATCTTCCAAGCCTAACTGTACATGGTCAAGGATTTATGGATGGGGCTTACCCCTCCAACCTGAGATGCTCAGAAAAGAAGGGTCAGACTCAGTCTAGGTGCTGTGCTTTGTAGTTAGAGTCAAGGTGACTTCCCAGTGTAAGTTAAACAACAACAACAACAAAATCCTGGGGAATAATGACATGCAAATTAATGGTTCAATAAAGGTTAAATGAATCTTTGCAAAACCAACCAACCATAATTTGAACAGCTGATAATTGTGGCTTTGGGAGAAAGAACAGGAGAATGAAAATAACCCCAGCCATGCCACGTTCGACCAAAAAGGAAAGAGCTTTAGGAACGGAACGTTCCTACAGAAATTATTGTGCGTGATTGCAGCGTGGTGCAAGTCAATCGGTCTGACAGATAATGCTGGCGACAGTGACGTCTTCAGGGGCATTTTATCCCATTCAGAGGCTGCTCTGCAAAGCACTCTCCCTGCCTGAGTAGAGCTATTTCTCCCTTAATCTCCCCGCTGCAAGATGTTACCTGCCATTAGTTGTCCCATTTGGATAGAAAGTGGCATTTAAATTCTGATGTAGTTTCTCTCTTACCCTCTTAATTTTCAGGTTGCCGCTTTTCCAGCCAACTCCCAAATTACATCTAATGCATTCTGAGTAGTTCTTAATTACACAGGGGCTGCCGCTTGCTGCCCTTTGACTGCAGAGGAGTTTTGTCTGCAGAGGGGATAAGAAGATCAGGATTTGGCCCAGTAGCCTAGGAGATGGTCATAGTGGACCACAAGTTGAATATGAGTCAACAGTGTGATGCTGTTGCCAAAAAAGCAAATATGATTCTAGGTTGTATCAACAGGTGTGTTGTAAGCAAAACTCGTGAAGTCATTCTGCCGCTCTATTCTGCACTAGTTAGGCCTCAGCTGGAGTACTGTGTCCAGTTCTGGGCGCCACATTTCAAGAAAGATGTGGAGAAATTGGAAAGGGTACAGAGAAGAGTGACAAGAATGATTAAAGGTCTAGAGAAGCCTATGAAGCCAGGCTTCATGAACTGGGCTTGTTTAGTTTGGAAAAAAGAAGATTAAGGGGGGACATGATAGTGGTTTTCAAATATCTAAAAGGGTGTCACAAGGAGGAAGGCGAAAATTTGTTCCTCTTGGTTTCTGAGGACAGGACATGGAGTAATGGGCTTAAAGTGCAGCAGGGGAGGTTTAGATTGGACATTAGGAAAACATTCCTAACTGTCAGGGTGGTCAAATATTGGAATAAATTGCCAAGGGAGGTGGTGGAATCTCCCTCTCTGGAGATATTTAAGAACAGGTTAGATAGACATCTGTCAGGGATGGTGTAGACGGAGCTTGGTCCTGCCTTGAGGGCGGGGGGCTGGACTCGATGACCTCTTGAGGTCCCTTCCAGTCCTATTATTCTATGATTCTATGATGGGACCAGATCCTCAGCTCGTGGAAACTGATATAGGGGCACGGAAGTCAGTGGAGTGACCCGAGTTTATACCCAGCATATGGATGTATGGGCTGCTACAATATCATAGAATCCTAGGGCCGGTAGAGACCACAGCAGGTCATCAAGTCCATCCCACTGCCCAAGGCAGGACCAACCACAACTAAATCATCCCAGCCAGGGCTTTGTCCAGCTGAGACTTAAAAACCTCCATGCAGATGGAGAAACTGACTCCACTGA